TACCTTTCATTACTCCTGATTCTGCTGTAAAACTTAGATGATGAAACTTTTCAGTTGATATTTTTTTTTTGCTATAGGTCATTTCACTCTATTATCACAACAGGGAACTTCATCTAAATCTTATCTGCAGGCAGATATATCATAAAGGTTTTCCAATACACTATATGCAGCAGTTTGAGGTCTTTTTTTGCACTTTTTTTCATCAATAAGTTTTATTGGGTTATATGTCTTGACCATTTTTAAATAAATTGACCAAAGTGTTTATTTTATTGAAAAATAAACACTTTGGTTTTTATAGAGAAAATTTTTGGGACATAGCAAAACAAGAGATTTTATCTGGTAAAACAGTTAAGATCAGCTCAAACAATTAACAAGAAAACTCTCAAAACTGTAAACAAATTATATTAAATGTTTTATTGTGATTATATAATTTTTATATTGAGGTTTTTCTTTTTCTCTTTGCAACAACAGGCTACAAAAAATAATTTACCATGCAGATTTAGTATAAAAAAACCAACTGGGAAAGTTGACAATGTTAAAGAAAACAAATAAGTAATTGCTAGTATAAATTTTTTTACTTATTCAATTAATAAATGATTAGGTTTTATACATCTATTACAATATTAGTGCTTTTAAATCAAGTAAAGATTGTTAATTTATAACAAATTTAGCACAAAATATTTTATCTTTTTATGTTAGAATAAAAAATTGAATTCATATAGCTTAACCGACTGCCAAAAAGTTTAAAATCTTAAATAATTGAAACACAAAAAAAAAAATTAATTTTAACGCATAAATAATGGGCAAAATTATTTTAAAAATTGTAAACAAATCAGTAAAAAAGTAACTTTTTTGAACTTATATTTTTTTCATAATAAAACATTTATTAGTATGTTTGAAATAATAATTTACGTAATTAATCTATGTATAAACTTAATTAACTCAATAATTAATTACAAAAGTGTATTATCACCTTGAATATACAAATAAGTGGTTTTTTAATTACATTTTTTCTGTTGCTGAGGGTCCATACCTAAAATTTAATTAAATGGAAATAAAAACTATAATCTAAAATCAAATGGAAAAAACAACTATAAATTGCCTTGGAAATGTGATAAACTCTCAGAATATTATACATTGCATCGAGGACTTAAATTATAAAACGACTGTCAAAAGAAATATAAATTTATGTTGAAGTCCATATATTCACTTAAGTTTTAACAAAAAAAGAAACTTTAAAAACTTGATCATAAGAAAAGTTTTCTTTTTTCTTTTTTAGCTAATTCATTTTTGTTTTGACTATTTTAACGTTGTTATTATTTGTGTTTTATACGAGCTTTTTACTATTAAGATTTATTTCTTAAGTTTTACAAAGGGAACTAGTAAGTTCAGTATAAACTTTTGTATTTTATTTTATTTATATGTATACGTGAATTGTAAAAATAATTTGAATGCAAATCTAATGTAAATCTTTTTGTTTCATGAAGATACGGACTTTGTGAAGATATGAATATTCATTAAGCTATTGTTTTAATGCTTCTAAAAGCAGTTAAAAAAAATAGTCATTAAAAAAAAAAAATTGTATGAATATTATTAGAAAATTATGCAGCTTGAAAGTAAAGGTTTAACCAAAAAAAAAATGTTTTAAAAACAGATTTTGTGCAACGAACCGTCGAGGAAGCAAAGGCTTATATTATAAGGAAGCAAAGGCTTATATTATAGGAACCAACATTTTTAATAAAGTTAAATCTTAATCTACCTTGAATACAATTGGCATATATTACTCAGGCTGTGGAAGAAAAACCGGCGATTAAAGAACACTTAAGACCAATAACTACCTTTAATTTATTTTATAAATTTTAAAAGCAAAGATGTTTAACAGCAATTGAATTTAAATAATAAAAAAAATAATAAAAATTTTAAAAGCATCAAAAACTATTTCTATTTGAACAGTTACAGCACAAAACACAAAAAGGTATCGATTCTTAGAAATGAAATCATTACTGGAGCAAAAAATAAAAAAAAAAAAGTCATTTTTATTTTCTCATAAATGGCGGAGTTATAGATATTTTGACAAAATTTCGGATGAAATCAAAATTTTGAGAAAAACTCTAAAGAAAATTTTAAAACCTTATTGTAAGTGTTGTAAGTTAATAAAAAAATTTTTTTCCAGCAACTTTATAATGTTTGTTAAAAATTTATAAATTTTGTTAAAAAATATTAATAGTTAACTACCATTAATTCTAGCAACATAAATCTTTAAAATTTTTTAAAAAAGTACAATAAGAAAAAAACAGTTTAAACGTTATTCTATCATCATTGCGACGTTTTGAGAACATAGAAACCAAACCGTCAGTTTTGAGAACATAGCAACCAAACCATCAGTTTATTATCTCAACTTTCATTGCAGCATTCTTATTTTTGACTCAGCTTTTTTTCTAATCAACTCCCAGCGGGCATTTTGACGTCCTAAGGACGTCCGTTAGACGTCTTAAGTCTCGTCCGTAAGACATCCTTAGTTGGTCTCAAATGAAAGGCTTGAGGACGTCCATTCCGGACGTCCTAAAGACGTTTTTTAAAGACGTTCTAGAGACGTCTCTGGCTGGTCTCATATGAATGACTTAAGGACGTCTTTTTCAGACGTCCTAGAGACGTTTGAATTTTACCAAGACATTCTTTTAAAAGTTATATAAAAATGCAATGATTTACAACACACACCTTAGATTTGCCTTAATCTAGGCAAGGGAAGTTATAAAAGGAAATCAATGTAAATAAAGTGTAATTATATATATTTAAAATAAATTAATAACTTTATAAAAATTAAGAATAATTTTTCAAACAAAAAAGTTACATTTTTCAAATTAAAAACAAATAGGTACTGTAGAATATAATCGATAGTGCATTATAAATAGAAGAAAATTGCTTAAAAATGGAAAAAAAATACAACAGTTAATTAAGCCAACATTGATCGAAATCCATATTAGTCGATGTTTTCTTTATTCGGTCAGAAGAATGCCTAACTACTCTCCCAATAAGTTGGATAGCATCCATTTTGGTTAAGTTTTTATTTGACTTTAAAGCAGCTTCTAATAAAAACAACAAAACATGTTTCAATAAAATCATAAAATAAAATATATATGTCATACTTGAATACATGTCATGTTCCAGAGCCAAAAAACTTTTTTTTTTTTTTAAAACATCATTTTTAATATTTAATTAATCAAACACATTAATAAGCTAATAAGAATACCAGTGACAGCGTTACATAGACTTGTCAACTCTTTAAACTTTTTTTTCTTCTTTAGACAATTCATGCTGTATTCTGACAAAATAGTGTCTGTTGGCAGTCTACATATATAAAAAAGAAGATAAATGCTCTACTGTCAATCATAAATGTTAAAACTCAAACTTTTGCTAATTACTTACAAGAGCAAAATATTTTTAATTGTATCAGCTAGATTTTTATCGCCAATTAATGATAACTGTTTTATCTAAAAAGAAACAATGTATAAGAAACATTGAAAATGTTTATGACAATTTAAAATAAATATTGTAATAATATATATCATACAAACTTTAAAGATGAAACTCATGTATACAAAAGTGATGTATTGGATATCTCTATTTGCAAATTTTTTTTTTCAAAACATTAAGTTTATCTGAACTTTTACGTTGTTTAAAACCTTCTTCTGGATTATTAGAGAACAGTGCAGTTCTATCTACTAAAATTTTTCATTTCAGCAAGTTAGAATATAAATTTTTTCTGAAACTTTGAAAAATAAAATATATAAGTAAAGCCATATAAATAGTATATAAAGTAGTAAATAGTAATTCCTATACATGGATGAGAAGAGGTAGATTTAAACTGAATAATGCTTAACCTTATAAGAATATATATGTATATATATATATATATATATATATATATATATATATATATATATATATATGTATATATATATATATTGATATATATATACATATATATATATATATATATATATATATATATATATATATATATATATATATATATATATATATATATATATATATATAATGAATATGTATGCATCATATAAACATTAATGTATAAATCATGTATATATAAATAATAATACATCAAATTAAATTAAACCACACAGTAACTTGGTGTCAACATAAGAAATAATCTTAATAATTATTTATACAACCAGAGATGGAAAGATCATAAAATTGAACGAAACAACACAGGAACAACAAAATATATACAATTTATTTATTCATTTACCTATTTCTACAGCAAAGATGTTACAAATCTTAGCATATATATATATATATATATATATATATATATATATATATATATATATATATATATATATATATATATATATATATATATATATATATATATATATATATACATATATTATAATATAGATATATATACATATATTATATATAGATATTACAAATCTTAGCATATATATATATATATATATATATATATATATATATATATATATATATATATATATATATATATATATATATATATATATTATATATATATATATATATATATATATATATATATATATATATATATATATATATAAACGTTCTAAAGACATTTTTTGCAGATGTTTTAGAGATGTCTCTGACTGGTGTCATATGAATGACTTAAGGACGTCTTATTCAGACATCCTAGAGACGTCTGAATATTACCAAGACATTCTTTTAAAAGTTATATAAAAACGCAATAAATTACAACACACACCTTAGATTTTCCTTAATTTAGGCAAGGGAAGTTATAAAAAGAAATCTAAGTAAATAAAGTGTAATTTGATATATTTAAAATAAATTAATTACTTTACAAAAAATAAGAATAATTTTTCAAATAAAATTACCCTTTCCAAATTAAAAACTATTAGGTACTGTAGAATATAATCGATAGTGCATTATAAATAGAAGAAAATTGCTGAAAAATGGAAAATAAATAAAAATACAACAGCTAATTAAGCCGATCATTGATCGATATTCATATTAGTGGATGTTTTCTTTAATCGGTCAGAAGAATTCCTAATTACTCTCCCAATAAGTTGGATGGATGGCATCCATTTTGTTTTTATTTGACTTTAAAGCAGTTTCTAATAAAAACAACAAGACATATTTCAATAAGATCATAAAATAAAATATACTTGAATACGTGTCAGGTTCTATAGCTAAAGAATAAAAAAAAATATATATTTTATTAAAACATCATTTTTAATTTTAAAATTTATTCAAACACATTAATAAGCAAATAAGAATACCAGCATTACATAGACTTGTCAATTCTTTAAACTTTTTTTTCTTCTTTAGACCATTCATGCTGTATTCGGACAAAATAGTGTCTGTTGGTAGTCTACATATATAAAAAAGATGATAAATAATGTACGGTCAATCATAAATGTTAAAATTCAAACTTTTGCTAATTACTTACAAGAGCAAAATATTTTTAATTGTATCTACTCGATTTTTTACCGCTAATTAATGATAACTGTTTTACCTAAAAAGAAACAATGTGAAAGAAACATTGAAAATGTTTATGACAATTTAAAAGAATTATTGTAACAATATATAACATATAAACTATAAAGATAAAACTTACTAATACAAAAGCGATGTATTGGATATCTATATTTGCAATTTTTCTTTTCAAAACATTAAGTTCATCTGAAATTTTACGTTGTGTAAAACCTTCTTCTGGATCATTAGAGAACTGTGCAGTTATATCTACTAAAATGTTGTTAATTTCAGCAAATTGGAATAAAACTTTTTTTTGAAACTCTAAAAAGTAAAATATATAAGTGAAGCAATATAAACAGTACATAATATAGTAAATAGTACTTCTTATATATGGTTGAAAAGAGGTAGATTTAAACTTAATGAAATTAAAAACTTAATGAAATTTGAAATTTTTTAATGCAAAAAATTTCAAATTTCATGCTTAACCTTAAAAAAATATATAAACAAGTAAAGTTCAAGAAAATAATAAGATTTTTGTCTAACGCTAAAAACTGTAAAGAATCGCTACTTTATATATATATATCTATATCTATATCTATATATAAATCTATGTATATATATATATATATATATATATATATATATATATATATATATATATATATATATATACATGTATATATATATATATAATATATATATATATATATATATATATATATATATATATATATGTATATATATATATATATATATATATATATATAATATATATATATATATATATATATATATATATATACATTTATCAAACATAGATCATCCTAGTCATATTTTAAAAATCTGGAAAGTTGATTGAATAAAATATCCGGAAAAAATGCAAAATTTGTCTTCCCTTATTTTCTTTTTAATTTCGCTTTTAGATAAGTTGCTTTTACTTTTTTTTTGACACTTTTCATAATTTTTCTATGATTGATGAGTGAAAAAGATTAAAAAACAAATATATTACAAAAATATATACCTCAACTTACATATATTGAAAATGTTTTGAATATCCTAAAAAACTAATAGTTGAAAAGTTTAGCGTTGCAACAGCATCTAACATCAAATATCCAATACTCAGCAGAATCAAATCGATGGAGAAATTTTTTTTTTTTCCTTTCAGAGTTGTATTTCGAATAGTATACCACA